TTTACAAAGTCTTTGGCTCCAAGTACTTGGGTGGCGTATGTTAGGGTATGGAGGGCTTGGGAAGAGGCGTATGTCTGTGGTGTGCTGACAGGACACCACTCCGTGGAGGTACAGTTGGACACGCTGTTGTGGTATTTGTGTTGATTGTTTTCTAACGGGGCTACTCGTTCAGTGGTAGATAGTCGTATGTCAGCCTTAGCATTTTTGTTTAAACTTAATGGTTGGGAAGATATCACAAATCATGTTTTAGTTTGTCAGGCTTTAAAGGGTTTTTGGAAGGGTTAGGGAACACCAGATACCAGGAGACTGGTGTCTTTCGAGATTCTGCAAAACCTGCTCGAAGTGTTTTTTGGTCTCTGTTTCTCCCACCATGAAGTTCTTTTATTTACGCTTGCGTTTGTTTTGGCGTTTTTGGTGATTTTCGGGTAAGTGAGTTGGTGAGTGGTAGTCCATCTGTCTGTGGCGGTCAAAAACTGACCTTTTTTTGGTAAAAGGTGCATGGTTACTCTTAACTCGTTACAGGGATCGATGGTTTTCTGTGCTGCTGCCTATTTAAAAGTTTGTTTTTTGATGCATGATGATGGGTAATCTTTATCGCAATATAAGATGTTCTGGGTACCAGTGGGGTACCTCAGGGATCTGTACTTGGATACATTCTCTTTAATATTCTTATTAGTGATATTTCAGAACGTCTTGATGGTAAGGTATGTCTTTTTGCTGATGATACTAAAATTTGCAACAGGGTTGATGTTCCAGGAGGGATAAGCCAAATGGCAAATGATTAAGGTAAATTAGAAAAATGGTCAGAGCTGTGTCAACTGGCATTTAATGTGGAGAAGTGCAAGATAATGCATCTTGGGCGTAAAAACCCAAGGGCAGAGTATAGAATATTTGATACCCTACTAAACTCAACATCTAAGGAAAGGGATTTAGGAGTAATTATTTCAGATGACTTAAAGGTAGGCAGACAATGTAAAAGAGCATCAGGAATTGCTAGTAGTGATGCACCGAACGGTTCGCTGGCGAATAGTTCCTGGCGAACATAGCATGTTCGCATTCGCCACGGCGGGTGAACATATGCCCTGTTCGATCCACCCCCTATTCGTCATCATTGAGTAAACTTTGACCCTGTACCTCAGTCAGCAGACACATTCCAGCCAATTAGCAGTACACCCTCCCTAGCAGACCCTCCCACCTACTGGACAGCATCCATTTTAGATTCATTCTCAAGCTGCATGCTTAGTGAGAGGAGGGAAAGTGTAGCTGCTGTTGATTAGATAGGGAAATGCATAGCTAGGTTAGGGTAAACAGTGTCCACTACAGTCCTGAAGGACTCATCTGATCTCTGCTGTAAGGACAGCACCCCAAAAAAGCCCTTTTTAGGGCTAGAACATCAGTCTGCTTTTTTTTTTTTTCTGTGTAATGTAATTGCAGTTAGTTGTCTGCCAGCTTCTGTGTCAGGCTCACAGTGGATACTGTGCCCAGTGCCACCACTCACTCAATGGTGTCACAATAGCTTGCATTTAAAAACAAAAAACTTGTTTCACTGTTATAGATTGAATAGCAGTTAGTTGTCTTCAAGCGGGTGTGTCAGCCCTACAGCGTGTACTCTGCCAGTTCACAGTGCTACTCATATCTGGTGTCACAGTAGCTTGCACGCATAGTACCACTAATCGAAAAAAAATGACAGGCAGAGGCAGGCCACCCCCACACTGCGCATTGGGTAAACCTGCTGACGGCTGCCAAGCATGGAATGCGTGGATCTGCAGAGGAGTTGGTGACACCGCCACGACTTGCAGGCAGGCCTGCTGCCGCCTCCTCTACTCCTCCTACTCCATCCTCTTCCATAACCTCCTCGGCTGAGTCCTCTTCTGCTGCTGCGTCTTGCTCCACATCAATGGATAGGGGATGTAACAGGGATTAAACTGATAAGAATAGTACTACTTAACACACCACTCCTATCTGGTGGCACATTAGATCGCACGCGCAGTGTCCCAAATTTGAAATAGGAGGACCGACCAAGCATCTTTTTCCATCTCCCGGTTCCTAAAATCGATGCCATATACACGTCCCCTGATAGGGGACGTAACAGGGATTAAACTGATAGGAATAATACTACTTAGCACACCTTATAATAACGCAGAGAGAGGCAACGCGGAGAGAGGAGTCTGAAGAAGAGGAGTCAGAGGAGGAAGGTGGCTTTGAGGAGGTGGAAGACCAAACACAGCAGGAGTCCCAGGGGGCTTGTTGTCACCTTTCGGGGACCCTTGGTGTTGAACGTGGCTGGGTGGAGGAAGAGACCTTCAATGACATCAGTGAGGACAAGGAACGGGACATGGCTAGCTTGGTATCCAACCTTGTGCAAATGGGGAGTTTGCGGTTGTGCAAATGGACTGTTTGCGGTTGTTTGCGGTGCGTTAAACGGGGAGTTTGGTCTGTCACTGTGAAGCGGGCGTAACCCTTACACTACCTGATCGATACAACATCATACAGTAGGTCCCCCCCTCATTATTTTTATGGCCCCCACCCACCGCTCACGGGTGGGGGCGGGCGGGAGGACAGTAGGTCCCCCCCATTGAGATTTATGGCCCCCACCCACCGTGCAGGGGTGGGGGCCGAGGGGGAGGACAGTAGGTCCCCCCTTATCCTTATTTACTGAATATTCCCTGTATAACAATGTTTGGCATTTAGTGAATATTCCCTATTCTGCTCTGTGTCAGTGTGTATCAGGGATCCTTAGGATAGGTGTCAATCCATATCTGCCAAGTGACCCTATGTAGGAGAACAGTCTCTATTCTGCTCTGTGTCAGTGTGTATCACGGTCCTTGAGGACAGGTGTCAATCCATATCTGCCAAGTGAACCTATGTAGGAGGAACAGTCTCTATTCTGCTCTGTGTCAGTGTGTATCAGGGGCTCTGAGGACAGGTGTCAATCCATATCTGCCAAGTGACCCTATGTAGGGGGAACAGTCCCTATTCTGCTCTGTGTCAATATGTCATATGTCAGGTATCAATCCATATCCATTGTGATTTAGGAATGTTAGGTGATTTCTGCCCTTTATGGATTAAGACCAGACTCTGCATCAACTGTGTAATTTTCCATGGGAGTTTTGCCATGGATCCTCCTCCGGCATGCCACAGTCCAGGTGTTAGTCCCCTTGAAACAACTTTTCCATCACTATTGTGGCCAGAAAGAGTCCCTGTGTGTTTTAAAATTCGCCTGCCCATTGAAGTCTATGGCGGTTCGCCCGGTTTGCCGGTTCGCGAACATTTGCGAAAATTTTGTGTTCGCGACATCGCTAATTGCTAGCAGAATGCTTGGTTGTATCGGGAGAGGTATTAGCAGTAGACAGAGAGCAGTGCTCATGCCATTGTACAAGACACTTTTGAGACCTCACTTGGAGTATTGTACGCAATATTGGAGACCGTATCTTCAGAAGGATGTTCATACTCTAGAAAGAGTTCAGAGAAAGGCTACTAAACTGGTTCATGGATTGCAGGATAAAACTTACAAGGAAAGGTTAAAGGATCTTAACATGTATAGCTTGGAGGAAAGATGAGACGGGGGGATATGATGGAAACATTTAAATACATAAAGGGAATCAAGACAGTAAAGGAGGAGACTATATTTAAAAGAAGAGAAACTACCACAGCAAGAGGACATAGTCTTAAATTAGAGGGTCAAAGGTTTAAAAATTATTTCAGGAAGTATTACTTTACAGAGTGGATAGTGGACACATGGAATTTCCTTCCAGCTGAAGATTAACGCAGTGAGGGAGTTTAAGCATGCATGGGATAGGCATAAGTCTATCCTAGATTTAAGATAAGGCCAGGGACTAATTAAAAGTATTTTGAAAATTGGGCAGACAAGATGGGCCAAATGGTTCTTATCTGCCATCTCATTCTATTTTTTTCGCTTGGGTGTAGGCCGTTTGGGATTGGATCCATTACAGTTTGGCACACATTCTTTTAGGATTGGGGCTGCAACAAAAGCAGCCCAGTTGGGCCTAGGGGACGAATTAGTAAAAAGGATTGGATGTTGGGAGTCTGTCAGGTTCCGATCATACGTGATACTAAACCATTTGGTATTAAAAACAAACAAAACATGTTTGTTTGTTTGTTGTAGGTAATATGTTTCCTTTCTTTTGTAGGTTTCTTTGCCTGGTTGGTGGGCCACTCATTCGTTCAGTGGGCGCACAAAAGTGCCACATTTAGACATCAAGGAGGACAGCTGGACTTTCCACAGCACTTAGCCAAATTATATTGGTTTGGTTATCGGGGTTTCAGATGGAGAGAAGTTTGTTTGGAGATTTTTAGGTTCGGGGCAGTCACTGGATTTTCTGTTGATACATGCTGGGGGTAATAACTTGGGTTGGGTGTCCCAAAGGGAATTAGTGCAATGTATTAAGCGGGACATGAATAAGTTGAGGGCTCTGGTTTCAGGTGTAGTGTTAATTTGGTCGGAGATGGTGATCCGGTTTCATTGGCATCATGCTTGGGATCCTGTGGCAGTGGCTAGGAGCAGGGGGAAAGTTAACAAGATGTTGTCCATTTTCATTAGACACACTGGGAGTATAGTTGTGAGACATATTGAGTTGGAAGTCTTGCTTCCCGGTTATTTTCAGCATGATGGGGTGCACCTCTCCAATGTAGGTAATGACTTCCTCAGTAAGGGTTTTCAGGAAGGTTTGCAGCGGGCATTGTTTATGCGGGGGTGGGGCACTCAGATAGCTTAAGGAGTTAAGCTCTGAGCTGTGGCTGGATAAGAAATTGGGGGTTAGGTAGGATTGGTAGCTGGGATGTTTTGACGTTTGGTAACAATATTCACATTAGGGGTTTGGCTGAAATTATCGGCCGATATTCAGTTTTTGGCAAATATCGGTGTTGGCCATTGTTGATACCAATATTGTTGATAATGTGAGAGGCAGCAGTGTCCCAGCGCCTGCAGGGTCGGCACGTCCATCAGGCGGAACACGCGGCCGCCTTAGGGCGTAATGGCTCTGGGTGAGCAAGAATCGAGTGACCGGCAGGAAGGAAACACAGAGCACTCCCACTACCAGTCACTCTGTGTAGCGTGGTCAAGTGGAGGAGAATGGACTGCGGTAAAGGAGATTCAGTTTCCTGTACCCGGCCGGACTGACTGGAAGGACACACAGAGAGCACTTCCTGTCAGTCCTGCCAGGTACAGGAAACTGAAGCTCCTGTACCGTCCTTTGCTCGGCCATGCTACAAGAGAGGCAATGAGGCACACCAGCGAGGGGGAGAGGACCACTAAAGGGGGGAGAGAGGGGAGAGGACCACTAAGGGGGAGAGGGGAGAGGTACACTAAGGGACAGGGAGGGGAGAGGTACACTAAGGGACAGGGAGGGGAACACAAGGGACCGGAAGGAGAGGGGAGGTGAGGGGAGAGGAACACTAAGGGACAGGAAAAGGAGAGGAACACTAAATATTCTTGAAACAAAAAATATGTCTGCCATGTATTTTGTGCATTTACCACTGAATAAAAATAAGATTTACAAAAATAGATAAATAATCAACATGTTCAGTTAACAGTAGATTTGTGTAGAAATTGTTTCTTTTTTCAAAATGGTAAATGTACAGAGTAGTGGTAAATTATCGGCTATCAGCCTGAAAGTTCACAGATTATCGATATCAGTATTGGCTCTAAAAAATCAATATCAGTCAATCCTTAATTCAAATGGTTGAATTTGTTAATTGGTAGGTTGGAGTCCGTAGGTGGCTTTCAACCTGGGTGTGTAGGGGTATCTTGGTATACACCTATAATGTTAAATCACTTTGAGTATGATGCCTGTTGTGGCTGTGTCTTGTGTTATATTATTCATATTTTGTTATATGGATTATTGTTATCTTATGTTATGGGTCATTGTCAGTGGGTATAGTACTGTTAAAAGTTGGGGTGAATTATATCTCTATGTTAAAATTGGGTATGTTTGGCAATGACCTATTTTGTTATTTATATATTTAATTATATATATTTTATTAAAGCTGTGTTATTTTATCCATTTTAAATCTGTCTGTGTTTTTTTGGGGGGTTTAATGTTATTGTTTTATCATATATGCAAAAAGGTTAACAATGCGCATGTCAAGTAACCAGAACAACTACATCTTAATGTAGTTAATGTTCTTGTGAGTATAGTCAGCCCCTGTAGGCTTTTCAGTATAAACACTGCCTTTTCTGAGAAAAGCTAGAATTATATATAAACACCAACACTACACACAAAAGAACACCTGCTTTTTGCTAAAAAAAAAAAAAGAAAACATTACACTCTTCTAATTAAAAGGTTGGGGCTCCACGATGTTGGTACAGTGTGTCAAAGGGTTCCACGGGAAAAATGAGTTGGGTACCACTGCTCTATAGTATTTCTCTATTCTCCATAAAATAATGGACACTTGTATAATGGATAAACTCACAGTTAAAGTAAGAGATACTTCCATATCCTTTGACAGGTGCTGGTTCACTTGAAAATGTATGAGTGTAGTGTGCATACCTTAGGTTATTTTCGTACGTAGTACAATTAGAGAAAGGTTGGGTGCTTTCCTTGTTTTTTTCTCTTCAAGGGCCTTCTTTTTTTATGAAAGCGTAATGCAAATCTCTTACATCTACTATGCGAACATGATAATTAAATTAAAAAAATAAACATTAAATAAAAGAAGTGTAATCGCTGATCTCAGCCTCCAGTCTTTATGTTTACAGTAAAACATTTTAAAAGACTTGTTTCTCAGGGTTATAAAGTTACACATTTACATTAGGATTCATGCCCAACAGCTCTCTCTGAATAAATTATAAATTCACAAAATAAAGAAGCATAACAAGGATTTTTTGTCAAGAAATGTTTCTAAGTCACTGAGTTTCCATTATAACAATATAGTTAAAATGTGAAAGTCAATTCTTAACAAATCTCAACTTACTTTTCTGTGACTAGAGCCAGATTAGTAAATTCTTAACTAAGAAAATATTTAATTAGGGGATGATTAGAATCTTTTTTTCCTAGGAACTTGGCCCCATAAACATTTCCAGTAATATTTCATGTATGACACACACACACTCTTGATACTGAAATAAAGAGAAAAATTGTAATTTCACTGGACTCTGAGTCTACACCATGGAATAAAACATTAGAAATCACCTTTAACTTGTGTTGACCTTTTTTATCTGAAAAACTCTGTTTTGTTTTACATTTATAACGAGATTGAAGATTGAGAATTAAATATGTTGTCAAGGTAAGAATTAGTAAAAATTCTCAGTTAGGTCAAAGTGAATTTGAAATTTAAGGCCAAAACTGAAAACAGAATTGACTTGTTTTTCAAATGCAGATATTTTGGCCTAAATTTGAAATTATCTTTGAATTCACATTTAATTAATGGCAATTCTCAGTTTAGTGAACAATTACAGCATGAGCTTCTCAGGTCATAGAGTCATAGAGTCCCCACCACTCTAAAGATGGTGGGAACTGAGCAGCTGACCTTATACTATGCAATGTGCAGTAGGAGTTAATCTATCAGTGGTATGTAGCATAGTAGTATCTGTCAGAAATGTCCGCCATTTTCCCTCTACTCTATTGTCCTCCCTAAGGACTTAATATAATAAAAGGTAAACTGTCACTTTTTGCACCATTGAGTAAAACATTGAAAATTACCTATAACTTTTGTTAACATTTTTTCACAAGGTTTTCCGTTGTTGTTTTTTTTATATATATTAAAAATTTAGCAATTGGTTTGTCTTACCTTCAGCCGCGCTTCTCCACTCCACTCTATTCAGTCAGATCTGTATATCCTTAAGTCCCTTCCCTGCATTTGACTGACACAGAATGCTCAGTCACCTCTCCTCTATGCTGACACAGAATGTTATCATTCTGCTTTGTTCATGACCACAGTGAAGCGTAATCATTAGTGGGTACCTATGCTCCATTATGATGCAATATGTGCGGAATTGTTCCCCAGCCAATCAGTACTTACATTAGACTATATTTGTTCTTCTCTGACCTCGATTCCTTCCTTGTATTCTGTGGATGCAATTTTTATTTTTCACACCTCACAAATACAGTTTGTTAAATACATAAATATACAAGGATATTTCCTATGGTGAGACTACAAAGTGAATTGAAAGAGAATTTCACATTTAAGGTCAAACAAGGCCGAACTGGAAAACATCTCTAACTCTGCTATGCTTCCTTTTTGGCTACTTTTTCCTTAAATTTTAAATTCACACTTTAATAAATAACCCTCATAATTGGAAAAATTCTGGGAACCCTATCACTACATTAATAAAAAATAATACTTCTTGATTAACCAGACCTTGAGGGAGACAGCATTAGACTTTTTATGGGGAGAAAAAGATATTAGACACTTACAGTGGGCAGGCGCCAGGTGTTTCTGCTACTTCCAAGATGACTTCTTGCTTCTCTCACCTGTGGGCACTTAATTCTCATCCCTGGTGCTCTGAGTCAATGATGGCCTTAGAACAGAAAGGCTAATAAAGCCTAGGTTAACCCCATTACATAATTGTGTGTCAAAATAAAAATAAAATGTGTCTCTTTAATTCTATAGGGAGTTACAGATTTTCTGATTCTCTACTCATGTGCAGCTGGCTCTGCTGCCTTTATAGCAACTTAATGTAAAAGCCCTAAAGTTCCTTCTTAAAGGAAACTAGACATATGCAGAATTTGCTAAAAATAGGACAGATTTTCAGAATGTTTCTTTCATTTTTCACATGCCTTGGTGTCCTCAAGTAAGCTTCTCCACACAGCCACCAATCAGGTGAAAGGCGCCCAGGAAAACTGTAAAGCCATTGCCTAATTAAAAGGTCACAGGTTTTTTTTTGCGTTGAGATATTCTGGCAATGTCTGTTAATCTACTTTGTTTTCCATATTATCATAACCCCCAGAAATCTTAGCAGTCCTTTTCTAATGCTAGTAATTTCTTTTCCACATACAAACTAGTGAGGTACTGCTCCAAATGCCCCCGTGGATGAGCCTCCACTTCCGTAAATAAAAAAAGTTGTGTCCAAAACCCAGGGCATGACAACCGCAACGGTTGTCATGGGCCCGGCGGTCCTTGGGGGCCCGGACTGCTCAGGTCGTCCGG